AAGAAACAGCGCCAGTCTGCCCTGCAGCTGTTCAGAGGCTCCCACCAGTGTCGGAAGTCGCCGATGTCTGTAGATTCCGACTCCACACCAGAGACTACATTTAGCCACAGCAAAGTGAGATGTTGCAAGGGGCTGGCTGAAGGAGGCTCTGATTGTGTCTATTTAGAATATAGTGGAACAAATCCAACCTTCAAGAATCCACATAGGAATTCCCTTGAGCTACAGGAGGAAACTCAAAAATAAAAATGTGTGTTTTATACCTGCTAATGGAAAAGGTGGCTTTGATAGGGTCTTAACAACCCTGCAATCTAAAAGAACAGTATTTCTTGCCACATTGCCTCCCCGAAGGTTAAGAACAGTTTGAGGGGGCCAAAAGAATAGCAGGTAGAGTGTTTGCCTTGCATGCGGGCAATTCAGACACCACACACGGTCGGTCCCTCAAACCTGCCAGGAGTGGTCACTGAGCACAGAGCTAGGAGTCAGCCCTGAGCATTGCTGGGTGTGGCCCAGAAACAAACAAAAGAGAGTAGTGTGAGATACATGCCTCTTTTCTTCTCATGACAGAAACCAAACTATCAAACACAGCTCTCAGAAATGGAACATGAGGTGAGACACTGTCTGGCCAGTGAAAGTCGCAGCTACAGCTGAGAGAGTCCATGGGAGACTAACCCTACCCACAGGGGGCCACTTCTCCAAATGAACTCTGGCTCCAGTGAGCACTCTTGATTATCTAGGTGATTTTTATTTGCTGAGAGGATGTCTAAGCAGTTGAGACTATTGAAGAAATACTGTGATCTTCCAGATGAGATTCTAGGTCTTGCCCCATCCCTTAATATTATTTGACTTGGTGAAGAGTGGTCCGCCATGGAGTTCACACAGAGCACCAACTTCCTTCCTGCTTCAGTTGCAATGTCCCTCAGATGGGCCCTTCCCCAGCCCCTATGATCTGTGCTCACCCCAAGTTCCTGACAGCCTGAGAGAGGGGGCACAGTGGGCTTGCCAGAGTCCACTCTTGAACACTGGATTTGGGGATCAAAAATGCCATTTTTGGTTCACTCATTTTCCAGAAAACTCTCACCCTGGTAGTATTATGCCACATCATAAAAGTAAAATGGCTCTCAGGGATTCCATAGCCGTAAGTTCTGGTGCTATCAAATATCTCCAAATACTCTTAGTTGCTCCTTCTTTATAAACTGGACAAAGTCACAGAGTCAATTGAGTTTCCCTCACTCTTTCTTCCTGTTCTCCATCAGTATGTTTTTCCCCATTTCTCCAGTCACTGCTGCTTCTGTGAACCCCCTCTATCTTAACGCTATTCCAGCCCCCAAAGCCCTGTCCCATCCTGTCTCTCTCGGAAACACTCCAAAGTCTCCCCGACAAACACCCTCTTCTCCTTGTTCTCTTCTCTATTGTTTGTAATTCTAATCAGTCTCTACTGCATAGTCTCTATCTTTAAGGTAATTTTTCCATTAAATATATGTATCTTAGGTAGAAAAAGTGACCCACAGATATGTGAATGATATAGATATCCTAAATATTTAAATGTGTAAGTGATATTGGGCAGAGCATCCTCCACCCAGATCCTCCAAATTCCAGTAGGCAGGGGTCACACCCACCAACTGCCCCTCTGGCGCCGTGTAATCCCATCAACGGCCAAGACTCAGAGACTATAAAACCTAGCTCCTGGAAGACAACAGTGCAGAATCTCCTGCCCCTGCGCCTGGCTGTCCTCGCTGGGGCCCCTTGGAGGGGAGCGGGTTGAGTCTCCCTCCCCTCCCCAACCAGAGCTCCGGCAGCCGAAGACCTCCAGAACCAGCCACCACCATGCTGAGACCACCCTCCACACACATGAAGTTACTGGCAGATGAACAAAGGCATGCAGGTTGAGATCTCCAGGGTTGAGATCTCCAAACCTGCTCGGATCGGGACTGAGCATCCTCCACCCAGATCCTCCAAATTCCAGTAGGCAGGGGTCACACCCACCAACTGGCCCCCTGGCACCATGTAATCCCATCAATGGCCAAGACTCAGAGACTATAAAACCCAGCTCCCAGAAGCGTGCGGCCACATTTGTAGCTGCGCTACATCTTATTATGACATATTATCTCATTCCTACTTTTGACAAACTGGCAGGCTACCGAATGTAACCTGCCCACATGGAAGAGTCTGGCAAACTCCCCGTGGCGTACCCAATATGCCAAATACCAGTAACAATGATGGGTCTCATTCTCCTAACCCTGAAAGATCCTTGAATATGGCACTTTTTAAAAAATCTCAGGGCTAGGACGAAGGAGATGTTACTGGGGCCTGCTCGAGGCAATTGACGAACAACAGGATGGCCATGATCGTGATCGTGATATTGGGAATCAGATGGGCTGGACACATAATGAGATTTGGAGACGACCACTGGACTAGAGCTGTTACTAACTGGATTCAATGGCATCTCAAAAGACCGCGTGGCCGCCCGCCTACCAGATGGTCAGACTTCTTCATCAAGACACTGAACGTTTGTTTTGAGGCTCTTCATGTTCCTAGAACGAACAGACGCCATTGGGCTACACTAGCATGCGACAGGGACAAATGGAGACGTTACTGGTGCCCACTCGAGAAAATCGACAATTAACGGGAAGTCGAGTGATCAAGTGATATTATACCATTGATATCAACATCTTATTTATTCTGTATATCTCAAAAATACTATATTACTTATAAAGATAAACAAATATCATTCAAAATATTGCTCATTTAATGGGTTGAAGAGCAGATTTTTAGAGCCAAAATGTTCTTGATGATTTGACCTCATTTGTTCTAACCTCATTTTACTTGGAATGACCTAACTGACAAGATGTGTTAGGACTAAAGAGACTGTCACTGTCACTGCCACTATCCTCCTGTTTGTTCATTGATTTGCTCGAGCGGGCCCAGTAACGTCTCCATTGTGACAACTGTTACTGTGTTTGGCATATCAAATACGTCACAGGTAGCTTTCCAGGCTTTTCCATGTGGGTGAGTTACTCTCAGTAGCTTGTCGGGCTCTCCGAGAGGGGCGGAGGAATCAAACTCGGGTTGGCTATGTTGGCTGCTTGCAAGGCAGACACCCTACCTACTGCGCTATCGCTCCAGCCCAGGACATGATAATAAAGAAAAAATTTTCATAAATCCTAATCTCATAGAAACACCAAAGACAATGATTACCACCAATGCTTGGATTTCTACCTGCCAGTTTTCAGCCTGCCTAAGGAAAACAAGAACTTTAATAGAAGAGTACTACATATCCAAAGCCAGAAAAATGGATAAGGAAGTTGTGTTACATATGTATAATGTACCATTACAAATCTATGAAAAAAGATGAAATCTTGTTATTTGCTGCAAGTTGGAAGAAACAAGAGGACATTAATGTTAAGAAAAAAGAAAGCCAGAGGAAAGAAAAATACTGGTTGGTCCCACTCATCTGTGGTCCAGAGAAACAAAACAAGGGAATAAACAGCATTGATGGATGACATAATCCTCACTTTTTAACAGAAAGTTGAAATTATCAAGAAGCAGGAGAAAGGGAGAGAGGAAGAGGGAGACCAGCACTAACAGGCCAGTGGTGAAGGGTCTTGGGTCCCTTCTTGATAGTGAAGGTCTAGTAATCACATACAGAGAAGCCATAGAATAATCACTGCTGCAACCATGTTATCTAAAATACAGTTCTGTTAAGAAAAAAAACGAAGAAGAGAAGAAAGTCCCAAGAATGTACAGCTCTGACAAATTTAAAGATGGTCAGAAAGATAGTTCCAAGATCTGTAGTACTGCCCACCATGTTCAGGTTCAATTTTTTTTAAAGCTTACTAAGACATAAAAAGGATTTAAAATTATGCCGTAACTGTGTGTTTAAAGAAGTTTTGTTGCTTTTAATTTTTTAAACACTTTCGGAGAACATTTTGGTATAACTGCTGAACCCATGTCATAAAATGGAAACTGGAAGGTAGAGAGTGTGAGTCGCTGGGTACATGTGTCCTGCCAAGAAGAACAGGAAGTCTCACAGATTCATGCCAGGGCTAAAGACAACCTGTGAAGTGTTTTCCCCCTCACTCTTGTCTCAGTAGAATACTATCCTGCTTAAAAAAAAAAACCACTGGATTGGTATTGGAACATAGTATGCTCAAAATTCAATTATGAATAACTGCAAGTCATGGTGTCTTAATAGAAAGTAAAACAACAAAAAACAAACAAAAAAACCTTCCTATGTAAATTCACCTTTCTAAAATCATCCTCTAACTTGCCTGCATTTTGAAATGGTTATTCTAAGACAGTGGGAAATCTCAAGCCTGGACCGTGAAAGGTCTGAAAAAATCCCATGGTCTGGCCCTGGTACATAATGCAGTGGAAGTAGGTGCTTCTCTTCCGCTGCCCATGGCCCACCTGCCTGTCCTGGATGGCCCATGAATGTAATAAACATCCAATGGCCCTCAATAGAAAATTATTTTCCCATCCCTGTTCTAGGGAAAGCAACTATAATAAAGTTAAATCACTATAATATTAATATAAATATAAATGCTGTATATATCCAATGACTAAAATCGATCAGCAGCTTCTCAGAAACAAAAGCTGTATTTTAATTTCCGCATTTAATGAAATAGGTACAAACTTCTGTGGCTTTCCAACATCTCTGCTTAAACACAAACACTTGCCATTGCATTATCTGATGTAACAGGTGATGGCTCACACTCGGGCCTTAAGACTATACTTTCTGCAGAGTTTGAGGCAAAGTTCACTGAGTAAAAGGAAATTTCTTGCTGGCGCACTGTCTTTTCTATGCTTGTGACAGAGACCCTTGGTTCAGCAAAACCTGTTTCTCATGCTGCTCTTCCATGTTCTCATAAGTCTGGGAATGAAAGGAGTCATTTCCTTCCTGCTGCAGACCTAAGGTGGGGCGCTTTGTTCCCATCAATGGGACTAGAGCATGTTTATTTTTATGCTGCAGACTGAACATTTGATATTCTCTTCTATTTCAGACCAGATTCCCTGTGAGTCCTGACCCAGCGATTCACATGTGCTGCAATGGTGACATAAACTATGGACTGAGCCTGCAACACCCACCGATTCTCTCCCCCACGCCCCTCTCTCTCTCCACGGCCCCTGCTCGCCCTCTCTTTTATGGTGCTTCTCTTGGGACCATCTGAGGCAAGTCGAGGCAGCATGAGTTTTATCATGAAGCTTCACAGACACTTCCAAAGGACGGTCATCCTGCTGGCCACGTTCTGCATGGTCAGCATCATCATCTCCGCCTACTACCTGTACAGCGGCTACAAGCAGGACAATGAGCTCTCGGAGATGGCCTCGGAGGTGGACTGCGGGGACTTCCAGCGCCCGCCCGACAGGCTGACGGAGGTGAAGCCAGTGAGGCCGTCGGAGGCCTGGAGGACAGACCTCACGGTGCTGGTGTTCGTGGAGAGCCAGTACTCGCCCCTGGGCCAAGACATCATCACGGTTCTGGAATCCAGCAGGTTCCAGTACCACGTGGAAATCGCTGCCGGGAAGGGCGACCTCCCGGCGCTGACGGAGAAGGTGAGGGGCAAATACGTTCTCATCATCTATGAGAATATTTCAAAGTACGTCAACATGGACTCGTGGAACCGCAGCCTTTTGGATAAATACTGCCTAGAATACGGTGTGGGCGTTATTGGCTTCCACAAGGCCAGCGAGAAAAACCCGCAGAGCCTGCAGCTGAAAGGCTTCCCCTTCTCCATCTACGGGAACCTGGCGGTCAGGGACTGCTGCATCAACCCGCATTCTCCCCTGCTCCACGTGACCAAATCGTCCAAGCTCGAAAAGGGTTCCTTACCTGGCACGGACTGGACCGTGTTCCAGATCAATCGCTCAGCCTACCAACCCGTCATCTTTGCCAAAGTCAAGACTCCGGAAAACCTGTCTCCTCCCATCTCCAAAGGTGCTTTCTACGCCACCGTCATCCACGACCTGGGGCTCCATGACGGCATTCAGCGGGTCCTTTTCGGCAATAACTTGAACTTCTGGCTGCACAAGCTCATCTTCATCGACGCTGTTTTCTTCTTGTCAGGGAAGAGACTGACTTTGACTTTGGACAGGTACATTCTCGTGGACATTGATGATATTTTTGTGGGAAAGGAGGGAACAAGAATGAATACCAATGATGTGAAGGTAAGTTCTATGGTCTCAAAGTTTCACAGTTGAGCTTGTCTCTCTGGAGATATTCCAGCTGTTTCTGTTTGCACAGGGCGAAGGGATGTCCGAGTTCATAGGATGTCTACTTTGTCAGAAACGTCGTGGGCAAACTGGGATAGTGGGTGACTTTGGTCTAGGTCATCTCCTGCTCCCCAAATCAAGAAAAATTAAAATTGTATGCCACAGGACTGAGTGCAGTAGAACCTTACAATGGTGAATAATTAATTAGTGGGAAATCATATTGTTGTGCTCTGGAATTCTTGTATCCCTTATATTCTAGGTTGACATGGGTGAGCAAGTAACACTTTTGTCACTTAACCAATTTCTCTCTGCCTGGTTTGTTCAATATATGCGAGGTAGATGTGAGATTACCAGCAATTCATTAACGGTCCCCAATTTTACTCTACAAGTGCATCCACAGGATAATTCCAGAATCAGCTTACTAGGACCACCACACATTTTCATCATTTTCATTTTCATTTTCAGGTCACCATTTTCATTCCACCTTTTTTCTTTCTGTATATTTGCTTTGACTTCTCCTGTGTTCCTGCATCCACCTCATCTCCAGTGCTTTCATTTTATTTTATGAGCTTTTTCCTCTTTGGACTCACTACTGTAATTACTCCAGTCCCCAAACAACAATGGAGCTCTGTTCCATCTGTGGAGTGTTTCTCTACGTATACTCCCTTCCTTTCTCTGGTGTTTGAATTTGTACAGCAGTGCTTCTTTAATCCCCCTATACATTTACATATTTATTTTTATGTAACTAGCTATTTCTATTTTTTCTCTCAACTATATATACTGAGCAGACTCAGCTTTCCCCCATAAAAAAGATAAGGAGAAAAACTCTGTGTGTAGGGATTAAACCAGCTGCATGGGGTATTGACCAAAAATTATCCCACCCCCCTCCTTATTTTCCCTCACTAAAAAAAAAAAAAAGCAAGCATTTGCTACTCTGCCTTGAATTAAATAATCTACTTAAACCAGGAAAACAGGTAACAGAGCCACACTGTTTCAGGAATCCTAAAACACAGGTATTTAAGTTCCCCTAAAAAGAAAACTTGAAATTCCTGAGTAAATGAATATTTTAACAATCCATCTGCCAAAGACTGGAGTTGGCTATCATTACAATGCCAACTTATATCCTATTGAACTTTGAGATTTCTGAGATACTAACAAATGCTTTTCATAGATCCTATAGACATTTTGTTTTATTTTGGAATTACACCCTGGAGTGCTAAGGGGTAACTCCCGCCTCTGCAATCAGGAATTACCTCTGGTATGCCTCATGGGACCATATGGGGCGCCAAGGATTGAATGTCGATATGCTGAGTGCAAGGCAACCAACCTAAACTATCACTCCAACTCCCAATTTTGTAGAACATTTTCAGAGAAATTATCTGACAATATTTTCAGGAGGAAGATATTATAATGCAAATTCATTTAAGTATTATTTGTCTGAGTTAAGTAGTTTATATAAATAGCAAAATGATGTTCTGAGGGCTAAAGAAATAGTACAGCTGGTAGGCCACAAGCTTGCCTTGTATGCGAATGACCCAGGTTCAATCCCCAGCACTTAATATGGTCCTCAAGCCTCACCAGGAGTGATCCTAAGTGAAGAGACAGGAGAAACCATAAGTCCTGAGCACAGCCAGGCATGTGTCCCTAATGCCCCCCAAAATGTGTTCTCTGCTATAGAAAGAAATATAAGAATGTATGAAAAGTTAAGGAATGTTTCAATAAAGCTGTTCCTGAACACAGGCATGTAGTATCTTTTCAAATTAGTGTTCTTGTGTTATTTGAATAGGGATTTGGTAGTGGAATTGCTGAATTTTAAGATAGATTGATTTTTTTTAATTTTGAGAATTTTCTATTCTGTTTCCATAGATGGTGTCCTAATTTATATTACCACCAATTGTGCATAAGGCCATTCTTATTTCAATACCCTTGTACCTCCCCCACCCCCCAAAAAAACCCACCCCTACTTTTTTCTGACCTTTTCATCCTTTTGTGGAGAAGTTGTGCACATGTAAGGCAATATGGCATTGTTTTGATTTTCATTTCCATAAAAAGACGTGATAATTTTTTTTCATATGCCTCCTGCATATCTGCATGTTTTCTTCAGTGGCTGTCTGTTCAACCCTTCTCCCCATTTCTGATTGAGTTGACATTATTGTTGAGTTTAAGGAAATCCTTATCTATATTGGGTATTAGCCTTTTGTCAGAGCTATGGTGAATTAGTATTTGCTCTGATTCAGATGAATATGTTTACCTTTTAATAACACTTCCTTTTGCTGAACTGAATCTGTAATCACATTTGTATTTTCTCACTTTTGCTTTCCTTACTAGTTGAATTCCCAAATAAATCAGAGAAGCTAATATCATGGAAAGTTTTACCTATCTCTTATTCGATGCATTTATGATTTAGGAACTAACATCCAAGTCTTTAATCCATTTTGCATTGACTTTTAATTCATGGTGTAAGATTATCACCCAGTCCCATTCTTTTGCTATCCATGTGGCTACCTAGTTTTTACAGAAGCAGTTAATTAAGAAGCTTCCTATACTTTGTTCTTTTGTCTCCTTTATCATAAATTAACAATCCACAGAGGGAGAGTTTAATTCTGGACTCTAAATTCTATTGATCTGCATGTCAGGTACCCAACTACAGACTATCAGGTAAAGAAAATATGATATGCATTATCATGGAATGCAATTTGGTCATAGAAAAACTGAAATCCTGCTCTTGCATTACTATGCATAGAACATGAAAGGTTCATTTTAGTAAAATAGTTAAGAAGGAGAAGATAAATATTAGGTGATCTCAGATGTGGTAGATAGGCAGAGCATGGAATATACCAAACTGAATGAAAACAAACCCAAAGTAACTAGAGAGGAAGAGACTCAATGGCTTATATAGGAGGAAAACTGCTACTTTGGTGGTGGTTTTGGTGTGGTAATTTATATTTGGGAGAGGTGGGAAACTGAATATCTTCCCCTTGAAAATATGCAAACTAATGTTCCATTAACAAAAGTGAAAGATTAGAGAGAATACTTTCCCAATCTTTGCTACTTCTTATCTGATGCGGGGGGGGGGGGGGGGGGATTATAATTGGTGTGGAACAGATAACTAGGGAAAGAAAACTTGTTTTTTCCCATCTTTAGAACTTTCTTGCCAAAAGTAAATCTCTAAAATCATGGTGACTTTCAACTTCATGGAAACTAATACTGTCACCATTCTCAGGGAACTCCATTTGGGCTCAGACATGAACGGAGAACAGAGACTTTTCATCAGCCCTTTCAGATCACTGACAGCCAACAGCAGAGAACACAGATTCAGTGAGCTCAGAAACACATAAGGTTTCAGGACCAGAACAAGGAGAACCTCTGAAGGGTAGGAACTCATAGCACTTCTGTGGATCTGAGCCACCAATAGTTTTCAGATGTTCCCTCTAGCAAAACTGAATTCCTCTAAGGAGCAAAGTCATCTCTGAATTTAAGCTAAATCTTCAAGTCATTTATGTTTGACAAGCTCAATAGGGTGTAAGTGCATATTTTTGATGAGCCAAAACCCCAAACATGTTTTACATACCCAAGGATAAATCTACTTGAAATTTTAAGTCCTGTCCTGTCTGTCCTGACCTCCCGTTGTTCATGGATTTGCTGGAGCAGGCACCAGTGACGTCTCCATTGTGAGACTTGTTACTGTGTTTGGCATATAGAATACACCACAGGGAGCTTGCCAGGCTCTGTCGTGTAGGCGGGATACTCTCTGTAGCTTGGCGGGCTCTCCGAGAGGGATGGAGGAATCGAACCTGGGCCAGCTGCATGCAAGATAAACGCCCTACCCGCTGTGCTCCAGCCCACTCTCCAGTTTTATCTAAATAAATTTACTTATTGCTAAATTATACATATGACAAGATCTTTCACATGTATGAGGAGAGACTTGTTACATGTGTAATAATTTGTTGCTTTTAAACAAACTTAGCCAGAATTAGCTGCAAAGGCAGTTACTGTCTCATTATGTCCTGCCCCTCAGAGATGAACTGTGTTAATTAAGTACACTTAAAGGGAAAAAAAAGCACAACATGCCTCTTTGCTGTGTCTCCATTAAGCTTCTATTTCCTCCTGATACTTGCTTCAATTTATTAACTGTGAATTAAACCTCACTGTAAATTAACCCTTCTTTCTCCGGTTGGTTGGACAGATGTAAAGGTTGGGTAAGGTAAGAAACTAGCTTTACAGCTTTTTAGAGAAGCTAGACATAAAACAATTTCCAGCAGCAGTGAATCTCAGAAGAAATCAACAGCTTTTGTGAATCGAGTACCGATGCTCGTTTCCAAGCCAGGAGCAAATACATAAATCATACGTGGCCCAGTGTGCCTGTCTTTAGGAAGCAGTTTACCGTCATGTATATTTATTGGTTGGCCGCAATTTCCAGCAATACGTTTTCTTTGCCCTTCCCCCAACCATCTTTTTCTGTTTGCACACACACAAATTCCTATCCCCAGACCTCTCTGGTTCCTCATAAAATACAGCCTTTGGGAATGATTCTATTCCCCACCTACATCCTTGCACTGTTGCTCGAGGTAGGACCATAAATGAACAGGAGCTTTTGCTGTCTGAGATGTTGATGATTCTCCCTTTGCCACTTGTTAAGAACTGTGGAGAGTCAGAAAGCTCCCCCAGCTGTGAGTGAACAGGCAGCCCGGGCTGGAGACTCTGGGCTGAGGACAGGGATGTTAAGGCTCACTGCAGCAGAGGCAGTGAGTGGCCAGAGTAGCCCCGTTCGAGCTCATTTGCCGAGTCCCAGTTCCTCCAGGGGCTGTGGAAAGGTTTGGATGATTGATGGTGTGCTGTGGACGGTTCCACGATAGGAGAGGAAGGTTCGTCATGTGAGGGAACATGAATCTTTTAGCAGGGGGAGGAAGACTGCGTGACTTTTGCCCTGAAGATAACATGGTCTTTGAAGTAAG